ATCCTTCTTATTTCTATGATAATATGGTTACAATTTGTTGAAGTGTGTTTTGATTCATATTTTAGAGCATTTGGTCGGGAGATGCTAAAGAGAAAGATAGGCGTTGTTGTAGTTGGCTTTCCAGCWACACCAATCATTGAATCAAGAGCAAGATTCTGCTTGTCAGCTGCGCACACAAGAAAAATGCTTGATGAAGTGAGTAGATTGCATTTGATACTTCTTTTTGTAGAGATAAACAAGGTGTTGTGGAATGTCGTATCTACCTCTGCCACCCTCCCACACCAGACTACCAACTAGCTTTTGAAAACTTTAAGGCTGGTACATGAATTAGCTTGCTCCCGCAACACACTACCACAACAGTTTTGTTGTGAAACATTTTTTTACACCTGAAATTGTTGGTGCTAACAAGAGGACTTTGGTCCATGAGCATGTTGTAGAGCATGTTGCAGTTGCATGGGTAAGCTCCCCTGCCCTTATGCACCACTGCAACATATACACTATGTAATTATTGACATATTATATTTCTGTCTTTTTTAAAGGCTCTGGAAGCAATTGATGAAGTTGGAGACATCCTACAGTTGAAATATTCAAGAAAACCCAAACCTCTCAAGTCATCAAATTAGACTTCTATGTTTGGCATTTTATGTTAAACTGTGCTRCTTTCTGCTACACTGTAGATGGAAATGTATTCCCATGAAATACAAGATAATTTTTATGTATATAGTGACGTCCGAAATGTATGGTACATTGTAGTGTACAAATATAAATATAAATCCATAAAACAAATATAACTATATTGTTTTCGACAGGATTAATTAGTACAGCATAGTGCAAAATTCGTACCTGCAAAATTTAAGTGCACTAATTATATTTGTGAAATACTAATAAGTAATTGGACAAAAGTACACTAATTTAACATATCAAGTAAAGACAGAGGATTTTAKTAAGCAATCCATTTCGTGAATATGATTAATTCACTTAATATTAGGATGTAAAATAAGTTACGTAGTTTAGCATTATGTTGGTAGCTATTTAGAGTCAATTTTGTATGAGTGTGAAACGTAAGGTAGAAGTTACTGTACGGTTACCGCACAGTTACAGGACCTGGCCTGCACAATTTTTGTGAACCAATGGGGTACTAGAATTTGGTTACAGTAAGGTTACSRTCACAGTACAGTACCGTCYGTTTCCCACTCATACGAAATCYGCTCTATTTTCATGGGTATATTATTTGCACTTTAGCTCCATTAGATTGTATATTTACACAATAGAAGGTTTTAAAAGTAGAGTGAATTGTACCAAAGGTGTTCTTAATAATCTTCATGTTAGTTGACCATAATTCTATAAAGGTGTCTMAATTTCTTACCAAAATAACTGTTATAAGTTTTCAGCATGATTTTCCCTTAAACATGAAAGAATATAATTATAAGTATTGCTAATGGTTGGAAGTAATGTCTTTCTTAGAGGCAATTTTTTAATATTTTTTTTATTAACCGGAGTGATTTTCATTAACTCTTTAAACACACTAAAATAGAGTGCTACACTTTGTTCTTTATTTTGTTTTTCATTGATTTTTTTTTTGTTTTACAGTTCTTTTATGGATTAACGAACACCACTCCAGAATCATGTACACATTGTGTTTCTTTGTACAGATGACAATATATTATTTCTGTTAGTTTCAATGAAAAATATCACTAATAATTGGTTCAACTGAGATGGTATACTTTTGCTGTCAAGCGAGTCAAGCAATGAGTGATATCAGCTATAACTCCTCAATAGGTTTTAAGGTTATAATCACATAGCTAATTAAATGATTCATAAAAACAATATTATTGTACGATGCCTCCTCACAATGCAGGCAGGCTTGATGCCATCTTCCAAGAATCAAAATAACATTTTAAGCACAATATCTTTAATTTCAAAAGATAAATAATTTAAATAATATTGAGCATTGCAAAAAGAAACTCTGATATTTTTTATTTAAAAGTACTTTATGATTGTTTTGTAAAATTTCAACTTCTACCCAGTGTGGTGATTGAAAAATAGCAATAATTCTTACAATTTTAGCCTTTGAATTTTCAAAAATAAAGGTTCAAAGAAACTACATTGTACTCTTTTTATTTTGCATTTGTATGAACAGTTAATCTACACAATAAATAAGAACGCTCTCCGACCATTCACGGCAACTGACCTAGTATAACGATTATTACAGTATTGAATAAGTCGTCTTGTTTAATAAATTATAAAAAGTTTGATTGCCTGCGACACTGTAATATGTGCTCTTGAACTGCATAGGGTTATAAAACTAAACGTTAGTGTTTGTCTTTATATGACTAACATGACATTGTTTTTAAATTAAATCTCGTACAATTTTTCTCTGCTTGGAATTTATTATTCTGTGGCTAGTTGTAAAAAGAATGGATAAAGTTATTCATGGTGCATAAATTTTTGATTGAGTTTTGATTTGCTGAATAAAAACTTATAATTTCTTTTCGACCTTCTTAGAGTGGTTCTCATTAACCCGTGAAATACACTTTAGCGTATTACACTTTATTATACACTTTGTCTCTTTTGTTTTCTATTATATTTCTTGGCTATTACACTTTGACTATTACACTTTGTTTCACGGGTTAATGAGAATCACTCTACTAAAAGGGATTAGTATGCTACGTCCTATGAAACAAATTAAAATCCCTACAAAATCGACAGTTTGTGCAACTAGCCACTGCACATAATAATAATAATAATAATAATAATAATAATAATTTATTAACTTATATAGCGCCACTATTATAAAATATTCAGTAGCGCTTTACAATTAAAATTAAGAACTATGTAATAAACCATTATTTATAAAATTCTATGAGTAAAAAAATAAAATACTGGGCAAAAATAAAACTATATTTAAAATAATATTATATCAAGGTGATATCTAATGCAAGAGTGCTATGAATAATGCAGTCCAACTTCTTCTTTTAGTCCAACTTCTTCCAGTACGTATTTGTACATATTTCTGTTCATTGAGTAATGTAATCGACTATAAAATTGAGGTACAGGCAGGGATAGCCTTGTTCTTCGGACAGAAAACAATATAGAATAAGCAATTAATTTACACATAGATTCCAGGCTATTCCTGCTTGTACTGGAATTTTAAGAATAGTCAATAGTAGGCTTAGCTGTTTACAAAAACCCAAACCCTATAATTGATCTGACATTTACTACATTTTTGACCATGTTATTAAAATCTATGCATATTAGGTCATTCTTTCTTTGCTTCAGCATCTTGAAGAAGCTGAATTATGTCCTYATTGCCAACTGCCTCAGCATTTTGAAGGGGTGACTGTCCATACAAATCAACAACATTGACATCAACACCACAAGAAAGTAGGAACTTGACGGATTCAACATTCTCTCTACAGACAGCCTGTAATATAAGAAAATGAGACTTAAAATAAATCTGGTTAATATAATTACCACAAAGTATCAAAGGTGAGTGTATGTCTTGTATCCAAATTAAAACATTTATTGTTTTAATGCTAAGGTCTATGGTGTGCATTCAGCAACACCATTTTGTGCAACAAAAGATGATGGTAGTTTTGGTACTTGTTCAATTTTTAAGCCTGCTAAAACAGTCCTACTAACATGCAGTTTTAGTTTTTTTTTCTAAAAAGAGATGAAGTATTTGTGCTGCTTCTAAAAACGAAATGTACAAACGGCTTTTAAGGAGATATTTTAGGGTCTATGATTACGATAATAAGTATGCTGACTACAACTACCATATTATGCTTTGCTGCATAAAATGGCACTTGGACATGACATGTAAGTTGATGGGAAGTCATACCACATGAAGTGGTGTCCTTTTATCATAATCACCACTGTTCAGATCAGCACCAGCAAGATTCCACATTTTAAGCTTAGAAACCTTGCCCTCGGCAGCATATCGACACAAAAGTCTTGCTGAATCCATCGACATGGGACCGATATGAGCTCCAACATCRCAGAGAAGTTCAATAATCTCCTCGTTTTCAGCTTGGATGGCATCGTCAATTGGTCTYTGGCCATATTTGTCTTGGACATGAGGAGAAGCACCTCGCAGCAGAAGACCTTTGACCACTTCTACTTGTCCTTCTGTACATGCAATGTGGAGTGGAGTGCGKCCATCATAGTCTGTGGCTGCATTAGGATTACCACCAGCCTACAGATATCACTTCGGTGATTAGAATGATTGCAAGGGACATCGAATGGTTAAATCCGAGCATTGCCGAGCCTGCGAGCCCCTTGTTTTAAACTGAGCCTTTGGGCTTCCTTGTCCGATATTTCGGCAATTGCGAGCTTCCAAGCAAAAAGCGATTTTAAATCTGAGCCTCTGTCTTTTAAGCTCCGAGCTTGCAATCCCTGGAAAATTTTTGGTGGTGAGCCCCACAATTTTTGAGACACCATTCTATACCCCTATTGTATGACAGCATAATCTCAAAACTCAAGCTGTCAGCAATATCAATGAAGCCTTACTGCTTTTATTGAAGAGAGAAATTATTTACAAGCACTGTACCTGGCTACAGAGGTCTGCAATAGCATTGACATCACCCATGGCAGCAGCAGAACACATTAGCACAGGAAATAAAGCCTGCTTGATGTATCTCACTTCCTCACATGACCCAACCTTGAGATTAGCAGCAACACTCCTAATAAGTTCATTGTCTCTTAAAGAGAACTGATGGGCTTGGTGTTCACTTTCAAGGGTTAGTTCACCCCGTAGRTTTGAGCGCATGACCTGCAAAAATGAATAAAAAWATTATGATTCTAAAAAGAAGACAACCATACCGAGACTTGAATAATTGATGTATTTTTCCTTTGTCTTCTACAGATTTAATTATCAAATCTTACTTACGCTTTTTCTTTCTTCATAGGAAATATCTAGACCAAGGACACAAGACAGTTTTGCTAAAGCTGCCTCGACTGTCATGTCTGCTCCAGGGATAACACCAGCCTCAAGTAGAACCTGTTATACCATGACAATAAACAGCCATCACAAAACAAAGAAAATAAGGGTGTTTTTATTGAATGACAACATTATAGTAGTAATTGCCTYCCTTTACCTTCCCTGATGCATAGGAATCCACTACTTGGCCATACAGACACTGTGTACAATTCACAAATATAACACCTCTTTGTGATGCAGCTTTGAGTTCATCTAAAATATCCTGACGTGAATCAGGACCATTACCAGAACCATATGTTTCCAGGACAACACCTTGAATGGGTGGCTGTAAGAATTTTTTGACCTGTGAACAACATATGGTATAAGTTCAGTTGTAAAGATAGCATTACTAATTAAGCGGCCATTAATTTCAATCTATTCCAAATAGACGTCTGAACCTTTTATGTCATAGCTTGATTTCCAATGCATTGTGGAATCAGTTTCAAAACAAAAGATATCTGCCATGTTCTGTCCCAAACAATATATCCTACAATGCATTGCATATACAGTACATGMGTCGACTTAAAAGCTTCAGAGATCTATTCACTGCGAGAGATGCATTCAGTTTTATAAAATTTTGTTCTGATAACCCTGTAGGTGTAGAATACAATGTTATTCCAGCTTATGATATGATATTACAGACCGTTGCTATGGTAATGCCAGGAAACAGCCTGAGAACACCAACATGTGGGACAAGATTTGTTCTCACTGTAAACTTGCTGTTCAGATTGCACTGGAATATCTCATCCCATTCAACTGAAACACATAATGACAAGTTAACAACTATCACTTCCATAGAGAGTGAATATGGAACAACAGTTACCAAAACTGGAAAGAAAATCATCCCTGGCAGAAGCAGTAAACAAGATAATTTGTTTTAAATTACAGTCATGTAACAGCTGTCTTACCATCAATTCCTGACTCAATGCTGGCAATTGGAGGGAAATTTGGAGAATCAAATGCACCAAAACTTCTTGAATCCACCTTTAAGCATCGGTTTCCTCGATACAACTTTCCATGAAAGAACACAGAGACCTATGAAGTAACAGGACTTCCATTATTAACTTCATTAGATGTCAAACAACTAAATTACACATGGAATAACGCATATTATATTACATGACATTATTAAAAAGCATTCTTTTAAGATGTTTTTCAAATCACCTATAGRATTATAACCAACACTAAAAAATGTATCCACCTGACCTGAAGCTCAAACCGCTTTCTCATTGACATGTCTTTAGTTTTCCTGCATACTTTTAGTGTTTGCGAAAAGGCATTGATCATGGTGCAGATCAGAATAACATATAATCTGGCAACTAAGGACTATGTTCTCACTGTAAACCTTACCTCAGGGATAACATGATGTCCAGCGATCATCAAAGCACCCAGAATATTGTCCCTTCCATCAGTGAGGTGTTCATTGATTGGACACTGTTTTTAAATAATAATAACTAAAGATGACAAATGGTTCAAAATAAACCAGAAATAAAAATATAAAACAAATGACTTACTAATGAACCAGTTAAAATGACAGATTTGCCAAGATTCTCAAACATGAAGGACAAGGCTGATGCTGTGTAACATAGTGTATCTGTACCATGAAGTATGACAAAACCATCATAGCTTGAATAGCATTCCTTGATTTTCAAAGCAATGTTGACCCATCCCTTCATGTCCATGTCTTGGGAGTGTCCCACAATGTCGGCTGTCATTTCTTTGACGTCCACAAAGGTGCGCACACCGTATTTTGTGACTCTAAGGAATGAATGAGAATAAATGAATGGCTATGTACAAAATGACTGGTCAAGAGGTATCTAAGAATGGATGGGAAAAGAAACAAGATGGATGAGTGTGTGAATAGATAAATGCAAAAATGAAATAATAATGTACGGATGGACAGATGGAAGGATGGATGCATGAATGAATTGAAATGACAATGGATGCAAAAATAAATTAATTTAATGCGACATGACATGAACTGGCCTCCTTTGTCTACCCTTTTGTTGAGATTCCTGTCCTCTTCTGGGAGGGGCATGAAGCCCAGCAAGGGTAGGCTGTGAAGGAGACTAGAAATGAATGAAGTGTATACAAAAATGACCCAAATGTAATCTTTAAGTTGAATGAAAGAATGAAAAAATAGAAAAGCATTCAATTTGAACCAGCAACTGAAATTAATGAATCGCTTACGGCATTACTATCTGGTCATCTCCAATTTCTTCTTCAGGAATATCATCCATAATATTAGCTTTTATATTCTCCACATATTCAGCATCGTGCATTGTGGGAAGTTTTTTAAGCTCATTTAGCACTAAATTTGTCATTACTTTGAAACCTGTAAAGAAATACAATTTTAATATTATAAATAATATTCTGAAATATCTAGTCTTGCATACATTTTGCCCTTGTTGTTGTTCAAAGTGCAAGCGTTAAATAAAACTAGTTAATTGTTTATATGTGTATTGTAAAATATTAATGCAGAAAATAAAATTATATTTACTAGTAAATTATTCTGCTAAAAAATCTAATTTCAAGTTATAGATATTTAAAAATTATAAGTAAAATGCGATTTACATTTGACACATGTTAATCATGTCGTCCATCAACAGGTTAAGTTTGCAATCATCGAATTTCTCGAAAATGTCATCACTCACCGCCAGGGATTAGCTTCCATCCCAAAGCACCGCCAGTATAGAGCAACAACACATGTGAAAGTCGAATATGTTCAGATCCTGGACTCAGATCTCCCGCCATTGATCCAGTTCTTCCTCGATGAAAATGCTTCCGCCCTGGTGAATCTCCACTAAATGATACATGTCGTAAATACTTCTCGGAAAACTGTCTTTTAATTGGGCTTCTGACACGAGAGTCCCCACTAGGGGAAGGCACAGTAGTAGGTTTGTCATGTTTAGTTTGTTTATCAGAATTCACGCTGGTTTGGGATTTAGATTGAATATTCAACGATGAAACACGTTTTTGAACTTGTGGTAGGTTGTCTTGAACTTGATCCATGTTGGGTTTTTCACCTGCTTAAACAGCTGACAATGTTTCACCGATTCAAATGTCCTTTTCAAATACTTCAATAAATTTGCAGCCCCACTTCGAATCGTTTCATTTACATGTAGATAGCTGTACAAATTGCAAAATGATGTGCAGATTGTTACTAATCAATGCAAAGTTCCACTACATAGCCACAACAAACCATTAATTTACAAGCAACATCCTCCTCCTAGCTCCTCCATGTCGTCCATGTCAAAATGTGGAGATTTCCAGGAGGAGGAGATTGGTGACTAGCTGTGGTCTAGAAACACAGGCAGCCCGGTCTCATTAAAGTCTCATCTAATGCAAAGCTGATCGAGGTACAGATCCCCGGACAGGAAGACCCAGTATATGTACTAGTCAGTTGAAACCCCCGACCCACGGGGCTAGCGGGGCACTGAACGGGGACGTGACGCGTTTTTAACGTGCTTTTAACAGCAAGATTGCCCCGGGGGGTCGGGATTTTCGAAGCGGGGCAAAGAGCGGGGATTTTAACACGCGTTTGAACATGTATGAGGCTGGCGACTTCCTTTGTATGGAATTTTTTTTAAAATAAACGTATTACACGTTTTTCTCCGTCCAGTTAGCCTAATGTAGTACTCAAATGAGTACACAGGATTGTGCAACTGATTAACACTGTGTATCACAGAAAATTTGATTGAAAGGTCTTTGTTTTTTATTTACTACCAAAATAGCGGGGATTTTAACAATGAATGTGCCCCCGACTACCGGGGGAAACGTCTTATTTAAACGCCACTCAAACGTTAAATTCCCCGGTATTCCCCGGGGGTCGGGGGTTTTAATTGACTAGTGCATAATTGGGACAAAGGAGGAAGAGACTGATCACCATTAAATATTATGATGAGCCATGTATTTCAGGGAATGTTCAGTCCTACAAAGGCAGCGACTCAGCTACCCCCGACTGAGTGGGGTTTCCGATACATCAGCCCTGTGATGTATTTGTTAGAAACTTAAGTGTTTAGACCCCATTTATTACAAATATGCAATTCTTCTTATATACAAGTATAGTTTGGCAATAATTATCTTCTTTACAAACCTTTTAAAGCTTTACTAATATAAAATTGGGTAAAATAGAATAAAATATTAAATAACTTATGAAACAAAAACGTACATAGTAAGATTTACATATGAAAATTTTGCCTATGGCTGAATTATATAATATGGCATTACTTAAATATCAGTTAAATCGGTTACTTAAATATTCAGTGCAAACACTGAAACAATGAAAAGTCTCAGTAGTTCAACAGCACTAAATTTATTTGTATTTTAATCGTTCAATTACTTCGTTTTCTATTTTCTTTTCTTTATTTATTTTCATTTATTTTTTTCTCTTCGTCTTCTATCAAATCTACAAAATCTGTGCATTGTGATACTTAGCACTATTTGAGTATTACTTTTAGATACTTTTTCATGGATTTTAGTGTTTGCACTGTATGTCTATTAATTTACCATTTCATGGATTTTACTAAACATTGTTTATTCATTCCTATCTGACTGAACTCTCTTAGGCGTAAGGGCTAGAACGAGATCATAATCATTCCTAATATTATCTAGCTTAGTACACATGCTCTCCAAGCAATGTTTGTTAGTGCTATCCCACATGGCATATAAGCCTACCAAGACAAATTATAGAGCCCACCGCGCATGCTCATATCTTTTACTATCCCACATGGTTTAAAACCACAATTCTGACAATAATTCAAGCACTTGGTCTAACCACCCGCATACCAATGTAATCATTAAAAAGCTTAACAACATTCTCCAGGTCCTGGCTCTTGGCGTTGTCAAGTGCTGTGTTATCAAAAATGTCCCTGATTGATACATCGACACCATTGTCCAGCAGAAATTTGATTGTCTCGATGTTGTTTCTGCATACAGCCTGAAAGAGATAAGACGTTACTTCAGCTACGAGTAATTTTCGTAAATATACGACATACAAAGTATAGTACGGTCGAGTGCGTTACAAAGTAGCGTGTAGAGTGTAGTATGACACCATCATGCACCTCATACTTACAATGTGTAAAGGCGTTCTTCCGTCATAGTCACACACATTCAAATCTGCGCCTGCCAAAGTCCAAATACCCAAATCATCAACTCTGTTCTTTGCCGCGAGTGAACAAATCTCGCCGGCAATTTCCGTGGATTTCTTATTGAGAATAGCACCAGCCTGAACCAATCGATTTACGATGGCTTTCTTTCGGAATTTGATCGCGTCGTCCAATGGGGTACGGTTAAACATGTCACGAGCATGGACCGATGCACCCTGGGATAGCAAGTACTCCGTGACTTCCATGTTACCGCTCATACAAGAGATGTGGAGAGGTCTTCTACCATCGTAATTGACGGAGCCATTGGGATCCGCTCCCTGACAAGACATACTGCTAGTTTAATACAATAATGGCGATCATTTGTCCGCATCCTATACGTGTTAAGAGTAGCAATATATATATTATAGAGGTGTTTTAGATTTGCTAAAACCATTCATAGCTGTCGTATGCCTGTACCTGTTGCAATAGCTTTTCTAATGTGGATACACTGCCTGAGCTGGCCGCCGAACACATTAACACAGGGAGAAGAGCTCGTCTGATGTATTTCATTTCCTATACAACACCAACAATAGTAATAAGAACGAGCTGGACATCACAGTTTACGAATGTAACGAAAGGGACTTAAAATACAGAAATAAAAAAAGATGGAAGGAGATTGGAAAAGGAAGGGAGTGCGAAATGGAGGATTAGAGGTGTGGAGGGAGATAGGGAGGGACGAAGTGGAAGAAAGGTGGATGGGAGGAAAGAAAGGAAAAAAAAGAATGATAGAAGGAATGACGTTGTAAGGTTAATCTACATTTTTCTTTATCATTTCTATTATTTTTTCTCCTTTATCATCTATTTTTTTATCAAACTGTGTACAGTAAACTGATTCTGATTCAGACAAAGCATCGAAAGAAAATATCTCACTTGCCTCACTTGAGCCAACGTGCAATGACAAGGCGACTGCTTCTATGAACTCGCTGTCAACGAGTGAAAACTGTTCTTGAGATTGTGCTACTGTCAGCTCGCCACGCAAATTTTGCTTTATAAGCTACAATGAAGAGAACAAGTATACAGGAAAGATCAATCATTAAACTGGGCAAACATGCATGTGACGACAAACCTCTCTTTTTTCTTTGTCTGTCAGTTTCTTGTGACTTAATATGTACGAAAGCTTGGTCAAAGCTGCTTCTGGTGTCATGTCTGACCCAGGAATCACACCAGCATCAAGGAGATTCTGAAAATGATAAGCACAGAAAATAACTGCATGTATCACTTGAGACCACTTACACAATGCGGATCATTTCGTCTATAGAACGACCTGCCGGTTGCACATCTCTATTTAACGACCACCTCTAAATAACGACCATTTCTATTCAAAGATCCTTCAACAAAGATCTATTCAAAGATCCTTCAACAAGGACGTTATTTTAACAGATATTATCTATCCCCTATAGGATTTAACCTACGAGAGCAGGCAGTTTTGTCTTCTCCTTCTACGTATAACCGCATCAAAAGTTTTCTTCCCCCGTAGAATGAAAAAAACAAACTACTAAAGACCTCAACTTGAAAGGTACCAAAGATTCTTACCCGGCCAGTAGCGTAGTCATCYACTACAACTCCACGAATGCATTGAGTACAGTTGACGATAATAACACCTCTCTCTGTAGCTTTCTTGAATTCACTGATGATATCATCACGATTATTGGGTGCATTTCCAGAACCGTAAGTTTGAAGGACGACACCCTGCATAGGCTCTTGAAGAAATGCTTTAACCTGAAATATGATGTGTATAGAATTCACTAGCTTTCTCATAGTTAGGTAGTTTCCACAGTGCGCAGACGTTATTAGTACGATGCTACCGTTTCTGCATCTCTCATGAGTAGTAGTGGAAACTCCTCATGTGGAGGCTCAGGTTAGTTTCAACACAGCTATCAACTGTGCTTTTAACTTAGTTGTGTTTGTTAATGGCCGTGACAGAGGTACTTACAGTGGCGACAGTGATTCCAGGAAATAGCCTTAACAATCCAACATTAGGGTTCATATGAGTATGAACACACAGCGCCTTGTTGTTGTTACATCTGAATATAGCATCCCATAATACTAAAATGCAAACACAATTTATCAAACAAAATCGAATTACTGTAAGCTATAAATTAGTCAAACCAATAAATATTTTATTTTTAAAGTATTCACAAGAGTCCATTACTAGGAGCGTCCATGTCCTTATACACGACTGACACAGCGTCTTTATAGACATGCTTTTTTAATTTTTCTTGAGACATTTCTTCAGTAGTAGCCTCTTTAGTATTGCTTACTTCAGACAGACTAGAAGGAAGTTCGCTATTACTAGCGTCCTCCATGTTTAATTTAATTTTGCTTTCCCGCGGATTTTCGCGCGCGCGTAATACCGGAAGCGATTCCTCATTGGTCGAAAAAAGATCTAAAAATATACACGTCTATGAAAACGCTGTGACCAGTAATGGCCTCCTGGTATTAACTGTTTTCATTTACCATCGATTTTGACTTTCATTGTAGCCAAAGGTGGGAGGTTTGGAGAGTCAAATGCATTAAAACTACCAGCATTGACTTTAGTAGTTCTGTTTCCCCTGTAAAGGCGACCATTGAAGTAGATACACACCTTATGGATAAGAAAATCAATCAATCAATGAATTAATCAAAAATACACATTATTATAATATCTATTTTGATTGATGCTACTGTTGACAACCCTTTTTTGGACACACAGGCTGAATTTTTTGTAAAATACGTACTATTGAAATACAAACACAATTGTATAGAATACAAACACTTAAAGCGTGCAACACTTTGCACTATTTAGTGCAAAATAAACAATAGAAAACAATAGAATCAGCATATTTAGCAGTATTTAGTGGTATTTATGTTGCACAGTTTCAGTGTTTGTACTCTATCTTTCCCTGCTAATTTCTGACCCCTCCTTAAAGGGGAATCATAGCTATTTATATCTGATATACAAAGTATTGTAAAGATCTTACGCCGCTACCTCTGGTATTATATAGTGTCCAGCAAACATTAAAGCTCCCAGGAGATTATCTCGGCCATCATTTCTCTGTTCATAAATCGGAACCTACAAAAGACAGGTCATGAGAGGTCTTTATACTGTAGGACTGACAATCAAATTAATGTATTTTACATTCCAATTTGGAATGAATTATATATAAATGGAAACTTGAAAATGGGATGTATGTGAATAAATGAGAAATGAAATAAATGAAGTGAAAAATAATAAAGGAGTTTAAATGGATGACTGTTAAACTTAATGAACAAATGGATAGATAGATGAATGAGAAAATTAATACATGTAAATATATAAATAAATCAACAATGACATAAATAAATAAGTAAATAAACAAACACAAAAAAACTAAATTGTCTAATAAATGAATCAATAAATCAAATAAACTCAGTGAACAGGACTGATCAACAGACAATAATGTCTGCAGCTTTATAACAGGAACTAGCCTCCTTCCCAGGAAACTCCTCTTTTCTACTCTGGGCTTCCTTTGTAACATACCTCCACTCCCTTGCTCCCATTCTTCTTTTGACTCCCAAAAAAGACAGGAAGCCCATGATTCTTAGTGATGCCTGCGGAGGAGGCTTAACAGGTACTAACCTGTGAACCAGTGAGTATAACTGTCTTGCCAAGATTTTCCAACATAAATGACAAAGCAGATGCCGTGTATGACATGGTGTCTGTACCGTGTATAACAATAATGCCATTATAGTCCTTGTAGTATTTTTTGATATCCAGTGCTATTGTTACCCAGTCTTCAATGGTCAAATTTGAAGAGTCCTTGATTGGGTCATAATCTTTGATATAGTACAGTATACGGACACCATGGATAGAGACCCTGACAACAGTAATAAATAATGGCTATAATTAGATAGATAGATATAAGGGGTGCGAGCCCCCCATTTTAAAATCAGAGCCCGAACATTTGGCTGAACAAGTCTGACATTTTGACAATTTTAGCCAAGCCCCTTTCTTTAAGCGCTGACCTTGCGAGCCTTAGGAACATTTTGGCGAGTCTCGCGATTTCTGACACACCATACAGCAGTCTTCTGACTGAATTACGTGTAATAAAAGTACTCACTACTCACAAAAAATAAAGGAAATTTTGAGAATCAAGTAAAAATTAAAAAAGGACTTGTCTATTAATGCCTATGTCAAATCACAAAGAATAAAAAAAGGATGAAAAATTGAAAAAAAGCAACAAATTAGAATTTTTAAAAAAACCCAAAGTAATGTAGCAAACGAAAAAAATAGAAAATCTTTGGCATCTGTCATGACTGAAGATTTTGGCGGGAATACTGGCACGTGACTTTGCATGTTCATCGTACCATCTGTTTCGGTTGTATAAAGTCGGAATTAAACTCATTTTCAATCGCTAGACTCAACAACAAAACTGATCGAAGTCCAATTTGCATTTTGGCGGGTGGTGGATCTAACGACAGACGCGAAAAACTCCAAAATAAATGTGATCTTGGAGGGCCGCGGGCAAAATTTCACGCATCCAGAGCACGTTTGCAAGCTGCGACACATAACTTACTAAAAGTATGTCCATAGAAATTACAAGCTATTTAGTTTTTTTTTTGCTTAAGTCTTTCTGTTTGGACAGCAATTTTGCACATATTTTCTTAAAAATGATATTTAAAAAATTGTCAGACACAAAACGGTTTTAAAAATTCATGAAAATTTGTATCAAGCCTGGTTGACTTAAGCTTAAGTTATTTAACATCATAAACATGGACGCTAAACTCTAGATGTTTCATTCCAAATTTAAACAAAGTGAATTACAGCAGAAATTTAACTCACGGCATTGGTATTTCCTCGAGCTTTTCATCTGTGAATTCAGATTTTGTCTCTGGTTCCTCGGAAGCTTCAGCAGCAAGATCATCATTGGACTTGGCGTCTACTACGTCGTTGACGTACTCTTGATCAAAAAGCATCGGCAGACGTTTGATCTGTTCTTGAAGGAACCCTAGCTTAGGCTGATAGCCTGAAAATTCATAATAGACATTAAAATAAGGAAATTTTACTTTAAAATATTAAAAATGGTTGCGTTGTTCGATAAAAATGCTAAAATTGCGCCAACGCATGACGCGCTCGACGGACCGGATTGTTTCAAAGGGTTGAGTGTGAATGAGGGTTTATATGACAAATTATCAGCGCAAAAATTACCTGACTCTGTCTTCTTCATTCCTATCGTCCCTCCTGTGTTTAAAACAAGAACACGAGTGGTTCTCGGCCGTCCATTTTTGTGACATCCTGGTTCTTCGGAAGCCATCTTTGCAACGCGGAACACACAGGGAGCCCACAACAACATATCCCAGAATACTTCGCGAGCTGAGTACATCCGGGAGCTGTTGTGTGGGTGAACATGTGCTGAAGAACAGCTTGCCAATATGGCTGAAGTTCAACTTTTCGGTGGTAAGAAAATTACAGAACTTAGAGTCGTTGATTTACGACAGGAACTTGAAAAAAGGGGTTTAGAGAAGAGCGGAGTAAAAGCTGTTTTAATTGAGCGTCTTCAAAAGGTTAGTACCTAAGTAATGTGTGTTTCTGGTACCGAAGATCAGCAAGACGTTGCCGGTGATGGGACCGGACGCCATAGTTTAGAATTCTGCATTTTACTTATTTATTATTTTGAAATTTTATCATTCAGGCTTTAGATGATGAAGAACCTATTGTCCTAGAAGAAGAAGAAGAGGAGGATGAGGAAGAAGAAGAAAACGGTGAGAATGAAGATAATAGCGCGACAGAGGAGGAAGACGCTCACGACTTGGAGCAAGAAGACGATGCTGGACCAGAACATCCCGATGAGGAAGAAGAAAAGCCTGTAGTTTCTCCCCCAGCAGCGAAAGTTACCAAAAAATCACTACGTGAGTTTTATAATTGAGATATTACATCTTGCCACCAAGGAAAAATTCTAAGAACATCAAGCAATCCAGACGTTTTACATAATTTGGTGTGCCAGATATCCTGCAGGAATCCTGCTGCGAAAGACCGGGGGAAGTTTAGGTGTTATCGAAACATGAGATAAGACGCTCTGGTGACAACTTGTATGTTAATTATGTATCATTATTGTCAATATTTTGATAAATAAGATTGTTTTATTCTTAGGTAAGAAAGCCACTCCAGCAAAAGACGAAGTAAGTCATTTTAAAATGTTTTTTGTTTGTATAATTAAAGTTTTGTTGCTAGAAACAGTTCATTATCACAGAAATACATATTTAATAAATTTGGAGAAAAATTGAGTTTCTATGCCATGTATTTTGTCAGATGTATCCAAATCTTTCTCTTTTTGTTCTTTCCAAAATCCTATTTAGTATTTTTAGTCTTTCCACAATTAGAGACATAATAATTATTTGACTACAAACCTGGTTACATGAAATCGAAATAATGGAAAGTTATAATGCTTAGAAGGGAGTTATTCCGGCCAGAAGTCAATGGTAAAGAAATTCAGAAAATGAATTTCCAACCTCACTAAGCACTATAACTTTCCATTATTTCCATTCCATGTATCCTACAGTGTAATGCAGTCCACATATTCATATCTTAGCAACCTGGTTGAAAGCCAAAAAATAAAATATATATTTATCATTATTGATAAGGAATATACAATTTTCAGAATTAATTTTAACATTTTTCACAAAATACTAAATACAGTTAGCAACATATAAGAAAAAATGAGATGAAATTCCGATGCAAATATTAATCGCTTTAATGGTTTATGACAATCTGCTTACAAGCTACCCTTAAAGAACAGCTGGTTGTGTCACTGCAGTCATTTACATTCTCTTTGTTCTTAACAGAGTCTAGACATCAAAAACCTTGATAGCTTATTGAATTCAGAAGGAAATATCGATGACGACTTATTAAATAACAGCTTTGATGGCGAAGATGTGATAATGAAGATCATTGACGAATGTCAAGACGACCAACCCCAAGATGTCGAATTAGATGAGAGTGGATTACAAGTGACAGACTCTATTGATGATGAACAAGAAACAAAGGCCAATGATGCTGAAACCACAAAGCAAACAACAAGCGAGAAAAAGAAGGAGGCCAAAGAGACGTCTGTTGATAAGAAAAAAGATGCCATTGAGAAAAAGAAGGAAACTCCTGCTGACAAAAAGAAAGAGACCCCTGTGGACATAAAGAAAGAGACTACTGGCAGTAAAAAGAAGGAACCTGTAGCTGACAAAAAGAAAGATACCTCCGCAGATAAAAAGAAAGATACCTCCGCAGATAAAAAGAAAGATGCAGACAAAAAGAAAGAAACTAGTGAGAAAAAGAAGGAAAGCGGTGTGGAGATAAAGAAAGAAAGTGAGTCAGAGACTAAAGAGGAAAAAGCCAAAGGTTAGCTTAAAAAAATTGCATTGACATTGTGTCATCAGTTATTTTCACTCTCTGGTCATGCTGTATTCTGATTATAGAAATAAAGGATGGTTATAGTGCTGGGAAGGAAGTTATTCCGGGAGAAAGACCCTTGGAAATAAATTCTGAAAAATTTATTTTTGACCTCACTGGGATTCAAACCCACGACCCTCATTCATATCTTTTCTGATTAGTTAATTTTACTGAAGTGGCCCAAGTGGTTTGACTAATATTATTTTGAGAGACGTTGCTTCCAACTGAGACATGACATCATACTTTAAATCGTTGGGATTGCAAACCATGGGATTTGGGATCCCAGACATGAGATCACTGATCAAATATCAAAAAGGTTGAGATATGGAATAAAATTAAGATGACTTTTGGGATAAAAAGATCAACATTTTAACTAATAGAAAGGGAACATGAGAAAAACATTTTATACGATGTCTCTTTTAGTGTATAATCTTACGACAAATACTGATTGTTCTTTTAAAATAGTTAAAACAATAAGAGATCTTTGTTTATCCTACAGAGTCACCAAAAGTTAAAACTGAAAAGCAATCTACTTCTGCTGACTATATCAGTCTAGAAGTAAACTCTGGTGAACTGAACAAGAGCAGCGCATCTGCCATGGACACCACATCTGATGCAGATACATCTAAAGAGAATGGTCTGTCTGTCTCCCTCTTTGTACACACAGACGGCATTCAAGATGATCTTGATGAAGAACTCAAAGCTGCTGCAAAAGCCGAGGAAGATGCAGAGGCCAAGAAAGAAAAAGAGAAGAAAGGTTAAAGTCATTGTCAGTTTATTCACACTTAACCAGCTCTCATGTGTGACTGGTTCCCTGCAAAGTTTTGTTGTTGTTGAAAGTTTAAACGTTTGTACCTGTGTCAAATGGTTTTGTTTGAGGTTTCTAGTTAGATTTTCTTAGATGTGTTTTCAAGAATCAAAAATCATGCTTTATTAAGAATTTAAGATATTCCATATCAGGTTCAATGATCATAAATAAATCATTGAGCCAAGTCGTCAAGGTTCGTTTGCCATAAAAGAAAAGATCTGTGCTCAGTGTTCCTTGATGCCTTGGTTCATTGATTTGTTCACGGTCATTGAACTTTGGTATGGAAAACCATGAATAGATGGCTGGAAATTATACCTTCAATCAGGAATATCAAGTAAAACAACCTTAATGTTTCTTCTTTAGAAGCTGAAGCAAAAGAGAAATCAAAAGAGAAATCTGACAAGGCTGATGAGAAGAAAGCATCAGCTACACCTGATAAATCAGCAAAAAGTGATGGAAAATCAAGGTAGTTGTAAATCATGAATTTTGATCCAAGTGGTGTACTTGCACCGCAACAAGACTTAACTAAGTTATTTGAGTACTGTATTTACTCATGTTTAAGCTGCATAGCTTAGATAAGCTGTACCCAGACTTCGGGAAACTTTGGAAAAAAGTTCATCTTGAATATAAGTCAACACTTTTCCTGGTTCTTGTGCATGAATTTGCTATGTTGATTTAAAAGTCTGTGGTTTTTGTTTGTTTTCATATTATTTCTTGTTTGTTTCCTTCTGTTTACATGCCATGATGTGATGCACATGTAATAATCAACAAACAACAGAGTATGTTAAGGCTCACTCACCTTTCTGTGCAATTTCAGCACCGACAGCAAAGAGAGTTCAAAACCTACTGCCAAGAAAACTCCAGACACTAAGAAACCTGGATCAGCTAAGAAAACTGATGATAAAAAAGCAACTGACAGCAAGTCTAAATCAGCATCTGCTTCCAAAGACAAGAAAGAAAGTGGGAAAAGTCTGTGGGTGAGCAATCTTTCCTCTGTTACCAGGGCTGCTGATCTCAAGACTAGATTCAGCCAACATGGGAAGGTAAGCTTATACTAATAATTCTTATTAGTTTTGATCAGTCTTTGAAATTATCTRTAAAACATGTAGTTTTGATGAAAAAGAGGATCTTTTTCACACAGGTTGTTGGTGCCAAAATTGTGACAAACTCCAAAGCTCCAGGAGCGCAGTGTTTTGGTCTGGTTACCATGTCAACAAGTGAAGARGCAGCCAAATGTATTTCACATCTGCACAGAACTGAGCTTCATGGACGGACCATTACAGTAGATAGGGTTGGTTATAGTTGGTTATATTAATAAAAATAAATTTTGGCCACTATTTACAACTTTCAAAAAAAAAACATGGTATTTTGTTATTTCAGAAAATGCTTTTTTCAAATAACTCCTAGAACCCAAGTTTACATCATAACTTGAGTTTTTGTGTAAGATACATTTTGATATCAATGTGTTGTTTAGGCTAAGGGAGACAGAGTGCCTCAAACACAAGGAGGTTCCAGTGCCACTAAGAAAGCAGCAGACAAAAAGACAACTGATAAGAAAGGTACCCTTAATACATGTATATAATTCTGATTTCTGTAGTCATAATAATCGTTATCTCTACAGCTTGATTATTGCTTTTTTGCCATTTCTTCCCTTCATGATTTTCGGTTTGTGAGATTGGACATCTTTCTAAAAATATATATTTTTCTAAAGAGGTGAATTTCTTGTATTGCCTTCCAGCAACAACAGCCAAAGCAGGAGAAAAACCTAAAGCCGATGCAAAGAAGCAGCCAGAAAAAGGTAAAAAGCCCAATGAAAAAGCAGCAAAGCCTGCAGCTAAAAGCTCTTCAGGTAAGTTTTTTGGTCTCCACTCAATTTTCACCAAAACTCAAATAAACAGAATAATTGCCATGTGTTTTTATGTTGAAATTGTCAATTGTGACATCAAATATTCTTTCTCGTTTCCCCTATGTGCATGTAGTAAACTTCTCGTACAAACCAAATTTCTTCTTATGGCTTAAAATGAACGTTTCACAAAAAGKATTTCTTTTGGAAACATTTCTCATCGCTTGTTGTCGTAGACTGAGAATGTAACGTTGAGTCCCTTACGCATACCCATTGCATATTGGGAGTCTCATTAGATTACATTGATGCTGATTGTGATGATGTTGATGTTGTGGRTGGCTGACTRAATTGTCTRGTATAAATGGAAAATAGYCAGTACTGAAGTTGTAAGCACGCTGGTAATCTGTGCGTAGATTAAKTTTGTTACCAATTAACAACACAAGACAAAATAGGCAGCTCAATCTAACTGCTAGAGCTTTTCTGGACGGCACAGGAAGTGGATATTGTGACAACGAGAGTCCAAGAAAGCTAAATATGTGCTTTGTGGATTGAGAAAATCTTTTTGATGCAATCAAGCGCCATTTGGATGTGCTCCATTGATCAGATTTTTGGCAATGATGCAAAGGATACACTAAGCTAAACCGATAAATAGTTTTGGATGCAAGCAAGTRTGAATTGCAAAAATGACATGGAGATCTCAAGCCATTGATGACCAAAATTCACATAAGTCAAAGCATTAGAWCTTAACCGCCGATAGCAAGAAGTTTCGTGCGCTTTACTTTAAAGATTAAACATTGCGTTGTTGAAGTTCTTGGCAGCTGATTTCAGATTATGGGTTGGCTTTGTGGTAGAATTAGGGAGCAATGACTTTCTCATTCCTCCCTGATTAATGATTGTGTAAATGAAGCCTTTCGATGCTGTTGTTGTTGAATTTTGTCTGTGGAGTTKATTATATTTCATTGTCTCAATTATCTGTTTTATAACTAATAATAAAACTAGGAAGCACGTCCACTTCTAAGAAAGATGAGAAGAAAACAGAAGAAAAGAAAGATGAAAAGAAAGATGAGAAAAAGGATGAGACCAAAAAGGCAGGAGACGAATCCGGAGATCGTGTGGTCGTCATGGATGACAGCAAAGGCGAACCGGTGGTGGTGGTTTCAAACAAAGAAGACGAGAAGTCAAGGTCCGAATCTCGTGGCCGCAAGAGCAAAAGTTCGGACAAGAGCAATGACTCGCCCATCAAGTCCTTGGAGGAGATCCGCCGTGACAGAGTAGAGAAACAAAGACAAGATCGTGCACGCGACGTCAGGGTTCAACGAGAAAGAGAACGCAACATTCGCCTACGACGCGAACGTGAACGTATTGCTCGAGAACGTGCTATGGAACGGGAACGCGAGCGTGAACGCGAAAGAGAACGTGAAAGACGACGGCAGCAATTTTTACGTGAACAAAGGCAAAAGCAAGAACAAGAAAGACTTCGTCTTCAACGAGAACTCGAACGTCGTCGTGAACTAGAGCGTCTTCGTCGTGAACGCGAAGAACGTGAACGCCTCGAGCGTGAAAGACGTGAACGTGAAGTTATACTTGAACGCGAAAGACTTCAACGTGAGCGCGTTGAAACAGACAGATTGCAACGTATTGAACGTGAACGTTTAGAACGACAACGCCTCGAGCGTGATCGTATTGATCGTGAGCGCCTTCAACGTCTGGATCGTGACCGTCGTGGGTCCGGATTAAAGCGATCTGCTGGTGCTCCATTTGAGGATGCAGCTGCGTCACAACGTGCTGGCTTCTGGCAGGACACTAAGCGCCCTGCTATTGGTGCCGATGGAAGACCTGAATTCTTTGGTGGTACTCTTGCTGCAGCTCATGCAGAGCAGTCTTCAAGGCGATCTGAAGACAAACTTCAAGGAGATCGTCGTGAAAGCAAAGGACATCGTGATGATTCAAGAGGTGGCAGAACYAGCAGTCGAGATGGACGCAGAGATGATGATTTCTCACGCGGCGATGACCGACGTAAAAAGGACGATCGACGACACAGTGACTCTCGTAAGGATGTGCGCGGTCACGGAAGTGATCGTGACAAAGGTTGGAGTAACTCAAACCCAGCACTTGGCCCTATAGACCCTCAAAAGAGTTTGTCAATACTATTGGAGCGTGCTGGGGTGAGTGGAATTCTTGGGAACAACACACCTGGCGTGAGGTCAGACCTAGGAAAAGGACTTGATCAAATTGACATTGAACGCTCTTTATCTTCGGCTCATCGTGGGGAATGGCGCCAGGCTGACCCACGTGATGCAAGACAACAAATGATCCCCCCTGAYAGGGGAGGTCATGTCTCTGTCGTTGGAGGAGGAATCGATGCTCGAGCTGCTAGTGCTGTGGATGCACGCTACCGAGGAGTGGAGCATGTCCGTCATGGCTCCGGAGGAGGTGTAGTCGTTAACGATCCTGTCAAAGTGTCGTCACGTGATTGGCGGGGTGATCCAAGTGCTGACCTACAAGCRAGACAGCGTGATGCCCTTGCTGGAAGGAGCCGTGAAAGAGGCAGGGGAGTGGATTCTAAGTCTGGAGGTCACTTGTACGATTCACGTGAAAGAGTAGCTACTCGTGATTCAAGTGGTCAGCGTGGAGCTTGGGGAGGAGATGTTATGCACCCCAACCCCATCCCTGCACGTGGTATAATGGATGACAGATCACGTGGTTCAGCAATACCAAGGGATGCATCGCACCCCTCGTGGGGTGTTGGTGGTCTTCCTGTCCCTGATGTACGTCACGCTTACAGTGGAAGTGCTGGTGGYCCAGATAGAAGACACTCGGGTGGAGCGGATGCCCGATATGAACCATACAARGCTCCACCTCCAAGAAGTGCAGGCATGCGCAGATATTAAACAATTTATTGACTSTATACAAGATTGTAGTGAAGAACTTTGTTACACTGGAACATTATCGCTTGGACATTGAACCTTATTATTGTAGTGCATTGTTATCTGTAGATTAAGCATCGTTTATAGCTCATTAATTCTTGTTTTGGGAACAACCTTTGATAGTTCATTGAGTAGTTTTAGTATTTTAACTTTTTAGCATTAGCAGCTTCATTGCAATTCATATTCATTTTAGCGCTTTGGCATAACTTAGTCRAGACAAGCTTTCATTAGAAATTCGGCCTATTAATGYAGCGGCAAGCATTAAAGTGTACGGCAATACCTTGCTCTGTGTTTTGATTGTAATCAGACAACCGTTCATTAAATACATGAACATGAATCTCAACGTGCTTTTCTCGTCACCAATTTCATTTGTCAATCGYTAMRAAATGGTGTTATTTCKACCGATTACGATTGGATCATTAATGTTGGCTTGTCTGATCTGGTATTGGTTATCTGACCGATTGTACAACACTACATTATGTCAAATGGCCAATGGTAGGATGKTGTCATTTGGTTGAATTTTGTGTCTACGTAATCGGTTTGTATGTTTCACGGATTGATACTGGTTCTCAACCAACATACGGTACTTCAAAATCTGAAATCTTATACATCATGGCTGGTCAACACTRTCCTTGCTCTGATTGGTTGTTGCAGCAATGTACCGAATGTTAAAATTGATATGCTTTGATTGGCTGGTCTACGGTTTCTTCAATGTGTATTCTAGGAACACTACGTCACCATCGYAGAATCGTGTTGTGTGTCCTCTGGTTTCTTCACCAACAAGATCAGGATCGGTTTATCAGAGATTTCCTATCGGCGTGCTTTCTGCACTTCCAACTAAGATCTCAAAAGAAACGGYCGTTTCATTGACATATTTGCTGTCTGTCGTCATTGTCGTCATCATGCACGACATTTATTCACCAAAACTCGCATCGTTTGTTTGGAAAAGTCAAGTTATTGTGGTCTTCCTCAACACTTCAGAAAGCGGATTGAAAGCTGCCATTTGGTCAGCAGAGATGGTATGGAAGGTTGTAAGTAGATATGTGTCGAGAAGAAGTCAGGTAAATCTGATGTATTACAAAAGTTGAATTTGCTAAAACTCTTTGCGGTTATTTCGGACGTAATTCTTTTTTATTTTGTACAGTGTTAAATTTATCTTTTTCGACGCATCTCACACTAGTTTACCGCTAGTTTTCATCATTTCTTTATTGTTAAAACATGATTATGATCTGTGGGAGTACCATTGAAGTATTTGTTGGGGGAAGGGGAGCGTATTAAAGAAAAGTCATCCAGATTCATTCATCACGAACAAGACATTGAACATAGGCGTCAGAGTACACTGAGCACGAAGAGGAGTACTGTGTGTCCTGACGTCTTGATTCAGTGTTTCCTTCGTGGTCACYGGAACATCGCTGGTTGAATTACATTTTTATAGCCAAACTTCAAAAACGACGCATTATGTACTTAAATACAATTTATTTTCTAAATGTTATGATGAATTGTCTGAAATAGCTAGAACCATTCTCGTTGTAATGAACCCTAAAGTTACACAAATCACGTCCGGGTGTTTGTATATCATACGGATGATATTGTAGTTTATCAACGAAAATGGTTGCAGTTAAAGGRTGTGTTATTCAAAATTGTTGAACAYTTTTCCGTTTCGAATAGTCCCAAGTGCAGTATTTGTCACCAACCCTTGGAGCAACACTTGCCACAATGATGCGTTTTCGTGGGATTTTTCGATTGTTTTTTTTCCATTTCCTTGTGGATGGAGAACGAYAGGAAAACACTTTTGTATTGACGAGGCTTAAGACGTATAAATTCCAAAATRAAACAGTGGTATTACCTAAACTGAAAGCATTCCAGCGCAGCATTGGTGCTTGGGTTGGTTGACAAACTGTAAAAAGGGCCACAATTGTTGATCATTTCTAACTGTATTTTTACTAACCGCTTAGTATTCCAGGAGGAATTCTACTGTGGACATTATCAGGTGAGATGTCGCATCGCTTCGTCAAAACTTTGACAAGAGGGGTTGTTCAACTGCTTGTTTTCAGAATTTCATGTTATCACCAAAATAGTGATTGTACTCGTCAAATATTRTGGCATGGTGTATTCTTTGGACCTCCACTACCGGAATACCTTGCGTATTTTCATTCGGAGATGAAAAAAAGCACATTCATTTTATAGACTTTTSGAAATTTTTGTCCCATTCCAATCTCCTTGGTGAAAAATTCTATTTTCCTCTTTTATTCCATCTTCCTGTTTATTTCAATTGGGCGAAGAAGTCTTCTTCCAAATGGTCTGAAGTGGGACAACAATTTCCCAATTCAAGGAGGTCTAAAAGTTTCGGTAATTGTGGTGTATGGCGTCATCATGTTTATCGCATATTGTTCAAGCCTCCGTTGCAGCCGTWTTAAGTGTGGGTCACACTTCTATCCGTATTCGAACACTCTTTGTAGCACTAAAWGTTCTCTTACCATTCCCTTTCCTGCACAATCTTAATTTTCAATCCATCGATCGTTTCGGTCTAGTGTGGAAAATAGAAAGTTTTGAAAAAAATTAATGAGACAGACTACAAGAGGAGAAGCGCGTGAACGGTCTTTGTGAAAACTGCAACCTCGATCCCAGGCCCTTATCCCTTCGCTTGGGATAAGGGMCTGGGAACGAGGTTGTGAGAACTGTTGAAAACGTATTTGGATAGCCTGTCTGGCGGGTTTAGGGCCCTAGAAATCCCTARAGTCGCTAGGTAGGCTTCTGAAATGAAAATTGTTTTTGCGCCTGTCCCTAGAGGAAAGCCGTGGATGTCGGATCAAGTTTATTTCTCGGAGTATGTAGTTGGTTTGAGCACTGAACTAGTCCTTGTAAAGAAAAAAGACTGAACGTCTTCTCCATTCCTCTCTTTTCTGTGCTTTTTTTCCTTTTGTATTTTTTTATTTATTTGTCGTTAAATTAATTTTTCATTGCTTAAATATGATCTAGTAAGTCTCATTGCTATTCACGGTAAAGCACCGTAAAGATWACATTAAACTTGCGCTCGTTAATAAAATCCTCTTTCAAAAGCATACCATKGCAACCACCTGCACGGAAGAACTTTAAACAAATGCATTGAAAACACATAATCAAAATGAGTATAAATAGTTTTCTTTGAATTTGACAACACCCTAGTAGTTGCATAAGCACACTATGACTGATATTTAAATAATCTGTTCTTGTTTGTGCTATACATTTTTTGTCAATGAATCATCAATACGGCCGACGTGATGTGAATTTAAAACCACCAATGAACAATGTGCAGCGACGCCAAGTTAAAAAAAAAAAAAAAGCATAGGGTGAAATGTTTTTCCTGCGTGTTTTTCTGTCCGTAAAAATTAGTTCTTGTAATACCTTGACAGAAGACGTTATATGCATTTTTTGCTAAAAAACACATTGCTAGCCACGTTGCCCATCGCACTTTGTATAGAAATTGTTGATGTGTATTTTTTGTTTTGTTTACTTACACTTTGTATTTGTGTTCGATAGGTACGTGTCAGGATAATAACTCTTGGGTTGTACAATAAAATTACTTCAATAAATARCATAAACGTTAGCCTCAGTATCGATATGCATTCATATTCGTCTACAGACAGAGCGGTTGAAGAATGCTAAGCCGGAAGTTACAGTGGTACATATTTAGTTGAGTGAACTGTACCTTGCTGTTTCGCATTCTCCAATCACTGAAACGTGTARAGATAACTCGCAACATAACTTTTATGACGGTGGATATTTCTTATTTTAACATCACTCAAACGTTAAATTCCGCGGTATTCCCCGGGGGGCAGGGGGCGGGGGTTTCAATTTACTAGTGCAGAAAAGCTTCAGAATTCTACTGCATGGATGATTGATTGGAGTGTTATGTGCATTCTTGAACCTTAGCGATGATGTTTTTTTTAAAATGTGTTATTTGATTGGCTAAAAGTCATGGCCATTTTTCTTATGTGAGAAAATGGCGCTACAAGTGGGGCTTTAAGTGATGACGGCAATTCTAAATTTGGGGTTTATTTTACCACAGTCTGTATGGATGGAGTCCATTGATACGTATCGCATTGAATCTATTTTATTTTTCCCTCCCCCGAAATTACTAAATATTTTTATTACCTCGTACGGGAATTACTGATGGCAATAGTGCAGTTGTCAGGGTGATGCTATAGAGAGGTGAGTAAATCCGCAAAACAAACGTGGACTGGTTAATACATTGTAATAGTCAGACAGACAAAAGGAAACATTACAAAGAAAAGTAGACCGAGAAGGCTATAAGGGTAGTCAGAATTTATAGACGGCCAAACGTTTACCTACAACCCTCGCATGCCACAGCCCGTTTTACCGGCTGTAATGTTCTGTGGCATAATATTGTTTTCCCGACGTCAGATTTGAGTGACCTATAGCCTCCTTACGATGTTCCTACGAGTATGTACCCATCCTAAGCCACTTAAAGTATATAACGCTTAAACTCGTTTAAAATGGCACTATACCACAGTACTGCGTCAAGGCTAGTGTTCGCGAGTGCGCTTTTGAACATACTGTTAGTGATATGAAAGCTATCGGAGTCGCTGTAGGTTTCGGTGTCTACAAGACTACGTCACCGAAAGTCTAATACAATCCCTCCCGATTTGACTTTAAGTAAAACAAACCCAAGAAAAAAAAGTACCAGAGCTTCGACGTCACCTGTCAATCAAACTTTCCTAACAAATTCTTGGCAAAGGTGCTAGCGTGTATTAGGAAATGTATGTAACGCGCTCGTTGACTCAACCTCAATCACACATGACGAAAAACGAAACGTAGCCTACACAGTTCTGGCCGTCATGTGGTATAATCAGGATGCAGCCCGAATAAGCGCTCTTGAGAGCGTCTAGTTTTTACATATTTTAACCATTACACAGGAACTCCGCAAAGGGTTGTCTCGGTTGGAATCCCTACAGGAATGATTGGTATGTTATGAWCTTAACGCATRATTCATTGGAATTCAWTAAATATAKCTGATCCGCTATGACACGATAAGTTCTTCACATTTCTGGCATTAATGAAAGTTTTCGACTCTCGAACCCTGATTAACCCATGATAATTTATGATTGTGACAGACTAACGAATAATGATGGATGCTATCTGCTCTGGAATGCCGGATAAATAATATCATATATCCTGATTAGTCATCGATGTTATGTTGGAACACGCACATATGCACGGTTTATTGCAGTACCGACTTGGCTTCTGGCTTCGTAAGAGTCTTACTACAAGAGTTCCTTTAGAGAGTAAGTCAAGATTGTTCATTGTGATTCTAATTGTTCGKGGGAGACAGCTGGAAACGAAGAAAGATCTTTAAAAAGCGGCCCGTTAACTATACTTTCTGAGTTAAACGGCAAAAACAGTCTCTATACGACACTTCAAGCGTGTAAAGAGTCTGTAAAGATTCTGACTGCAGTGCACAAGAGCTTCGCAACACAAGCAAAACATTGATTCAAGTCAAGTGAAGATATTTAACCCAGCATTTTCAGAGCAGTCGGAGTGACCTGAGGCATGATTGGCCTTAACTCCGATTAAGCCAATAATACAACAACATCAACAATATATACCAAATTAACTGTGGCTTCATCAATATACGATAAATCGACCGCCGTCCCATTATCACAATACAGGTCAAGACTTGRCGGGTAAAAAAAAGTTTTGTGCTCTTTCGACGAAACTGATGGACATTGACGACTTTCATCGACCTATCGATTCGACAGCAAGAGAACAAAGCTGAAATAGTTAAACTTTTGGTCTATATCTCGACAAAATATCGCATAAACGATATAATTGATATTAATTAATATATAGGACCAAACTGATTGAGAAAGTGAGATGTTCCCGCACGACAACTATTAGATARAAGTCCGCATTGTAATTTCAAGGTCAAACATCCACTTCAATTGATGTACAGTTTTTTTTATAATTTATTGCCGAAAATMGCCGAGAAATCGTTTGTCGTTAACGATCCATTCACTCAGATAAAACAGTCGAATTTCTGTTGTTGACTTAAAGGCAATTTGTACAAATAAACACTGAAACAAATAACACTTGTTAGTCCAACAAAGAAGRAAAAGAAGAGATGACATTATCACTTTGCAATCTCTTCTTTCGCGCCATAATTTCTCTGTTAAACTTCTTGGTCTTTGCAATCTTTGTGGCCACACAATTCTTCCAGGAYCAAGASTCGAAATATTTCTTCAAATGGATACTTGGGAATAGAACAACTAGTTATATATCGAGCAACTACCATGTTTCGAATTCGTTATCATGGTGGATTATATATTTTTGGTATGGTCTTCACGCTTGGCARTTACTATGGATGAGTTTTTCWGTTGCCATACTCTTTAAAAGAAACTTTCCAGAGGCGATTAATGGTGTCTTCTTTTTYYTATACATCCTTTCTACTGCTCTGGATATTGCTTGGRTAGTTTTYTCCAGCAGAGAAATGRTTGTCCCTGCGTGCGTTGTGATATCTCTAGGGGTGTTCCTCAAGGTTCCCGCCTTGGTCCTCGTGTACGTGAAATTCGAGGACTCATACGATTACGAGAAGCATTCCTTGTGSGATTTTTGGTCATTTCACGTTCTTGTCTTCAATGGCATCGCRGCGAATATAGTAGTGAGTGTATACAATGCTTTGATTTGGTTCTCTATTGTCTTAACATACAATGACGACCTTCCAGAAAGAAGYTCCACAACRATGGCACTTACGATAACATTTACCTTGGCGATCGTCTGGTTTTTGCTGGAAAATTCTCTGTTCCTCTGGTTTACGCGTTTTACATTTAGCATCTATCCRACATTGATAATTACAATGATTAGTAGCTTAATTCAAAACTGGACGCCTGAGTCAAGGAATTTCATTATCCTCGCAGTCCTGCTTGTCTTTGTGAGCGTGCTTTTTGGATGTCACGTGATTCTTGTGATATCGAGATTAAGCAAGGCGAAGCGATCTTTCCCCACAAGACAAGTCTCTGTATCTAGCTTTAATATCGAATTCATGACTACAAGGTTTTAAGACAACAATAATACTAMAGGATGCACTTTGAAAGCGCAGATTTCTGTAGAACTTTTTGATAATATTATCGATATTACTTTTATTATAACGCGCGTAAATGAAAATGGTCATTTCATACTCTAACCGACACGAACCGACACCTTTACTTGGAACGTGTGACCGCATTTATTTGGTAGGTCTTCTGAATGAAGGACTAGCAGAAGAATCGTTACATCACCGAGTGTTGCGTGACAACACAGGGTAGACMGCAGGAGAATGATGAATATCTTTGAGAAAGTCTTTTCAAAAAATACAATAAGASACAGTACCATATTTTATTATTAACTACTAGAAATTGTTATTTTATACAAATTAAAAAAAATTGTTTTATAAATGAATGGTTATTWTATTGTAATAGTTGTCACCATAAAAATAACTAAAATAAAGAAAAATATGATAAAAACAATAACGAAGTAGAAAGAACAGGATGATGGTGTGGGACACACAACAGATCAAGGCACCAAATTAAGTGTGCCTGCAGTTCAAGCACTTGAAAAAGAAAAAAAAAGATATTGGGCTGCCTGAGTATAAATGAAAAAATGGTTTCCATGCTAATGGGCATACTCTGCATTTCCTATATAGTGAGCACTATAATGGTTTTATATTGCAATTCACCCTATCTACGCTATTTAATACAATAATTATTGCAATCGAGCAGTCCACAAGCCCTCATCCCCAGGCCCTAATTCAAGGGCCTGAGTACGAAGTTGTCAGGTGATCCACTTTCTGATTTTTCTAATTTAATGTAAGGATTAAATACCAACGTCAAGAATATCTGGTAGCATGATGTCCATCATGGAACATCTCKTCACAAGGAGCCCACCAATTTCCTCCTGTCCCACCCTCCGACGGGGGAGGTCCAGACCACTCAAAGGATTCCTGGCAAGGTTCACATTCTTTCCACCATTGTATYGTYACTGGATCTGATGCTATTGCTGCCATGTCAGCATCAAAATTGTCACCTAGCAAGAAATTATTTACTATTTGAATCACTGAATCAATCCAATCAGAGGAGGGGGGGGAGGGGGGGGAATCTAGTAATTTCTTTGGGAAGGGGTGCATGTCAACCTCATCCCTAGTGCCTTCTGTGTAGCTGTTTTCCATATATTTTTGAGTATTCGGTAATATGATATCAGCCTTTGACAGGGTTATCAATCTCTACTTTAAAAATAGCAACAAAGATGGAACCATAGTTATTAACTATGATGGAACTGAGGACAAGGTTGTTCCAGGCTACTCTCTTTGACCCACTATTCTACATTTTCTACTACCAAAAATTGGAGAAGAGTTGGCAGAGTGTTGCCTGGGATGATTTATGAATAAATTAATGTGCATGAGGTATTAGTTCATTAAAATAGGCGATATGCATTATGGCGTCATTTACTACAACTACCAGAATGCTTTGCCAACTTTCTTTTGTAATGCAATTAGTGCCAATTGTTTTATTGATCTCCAAGGGGATTAARAATCTGAATAACAATGAAAATGCGCAAGGCTCTCTGGTAGTTGTAGTAAAGTTACGTCATAATGCAAACGGCCTAATAATTGATAAATTTTATTTGGACTTCCCATCCAGGGCAAAGTCCAGGCTTGATACTCACCAATGTATTCAAAATGAGAGAAAAGGACATTATTGTGTTTATCAAAGTAAATAGTGTAGTTTCTGATATTACTTTGATATATTCTTTCTAAAACCTATCAAAAACAAAAGGAAAATCCCGTTAAAGTATAGGAGTCCAGAGGTCCACGGTTCTCAGCTCAGTTTCCAGTAACTTCAAAAGAAATACCTTGGGCCATACGGCTGCATGAAGCTTTTTGTATTGATCGTACATCCCTTGTTTCAATTTTATAACTGAGCCGTATCTCTTTGGAACTTTTGTAGCTTCTGCCATCTTGTTCTTCTTCCTTTCGAAATGAAGACACCGCTGACATAATCCACAGGAATCCCGAATATGAAATCATATTTTAAAAAAATTACAGAATTTATATAACATTCTTGTTTAAGTTCAGGATATGAAAAAAATTAACGTCTGAACAACTAAAGAAAAAAGGGATAAAATTATGTATTTTGATAGACTCCAGAATTTTTTTATACATGTATACTTTTTCATAACTTTAAAGAATGCGGGCTCATGTTGTAAGATGGCGGACGTTCTGGTGTTCGTTTCGGCTTTTCTCATAATGGCTGCTTTTCTCGCRCTAGCTGCCGTAATTTTCAATCTAGGTGTGCTAGAAAGGCGGGCAATGATGGATGGTACTGTTAGAAGTCCYTTGGAAATACCAGAACAGTCAAAAATAGGCGTTGAAAATCCATTTATTGTGGAAGTTCGAGAAGATAGTTCGTGTGAAGATGGTAAGTTGCTTTCATTCATTTTGTAGTTCGTTCAGCTGTTTTTGCAAATGAGTTGCGTGAAATTCGTTTGTTGTTTCTKTTATCGTTACTAATAAGTCATCGGTTCCCCCATCATCGATTCTCCCACTTATCCATTTTTTCATTTCTCACATTTAACGTCTGACTTTAATTATTATTACTGTCCCAGGATTCATTTCCATTATACTACGCAGTTCTGTACCCTGTTATATGACGTTTTACTGGGGAGTGGATATATCAAGCATCGAGGAATCTCTTTGCAAAGATCGGCCTGTCAATGATAGTGATGATGAAGATTATGAAGATCAGTTTGTACCAGTGCATAGAATTTTATCGGGATCATATGAAAGCAAAGGCCCTATGGATTAGTATCCTTATAAATAATAAATAATAAAAATAAATAAAATAATAAAATATAAATTWTACTTTGGAGAAAACMTTCACCTGTTTCCAAGTCAGTTATTGTAAAGTGTCTTATTTGAGCCATCATTCGAAAAAGAAAAAGAACTTKGCCTTAACAGTCAATTTAGTTATGAGCCTGGACAAGACCATCAAATAAAGGAAAAAATTCCTTCGGAAATGTTTGCTCAACTAAAACATGATGGCATCGGTACTTCAAAATATCAGCTGCTTGTATCAGCAGAAAGTTCCAGAGACATCAGTCATCATACAGAGATTGATCCTTGTGAAATTGCAAGTAGAAATCTTACTTTTATTAGAAATCATGATATTTTCATGCAATTTTATATTTGTGAAATAAGATGAATTTTATAACGTTAAAAGTATGAGTTGAAATAACTTTAGACGTTTTTTGGCCATTCCATCCCCTGAGGCTAGGCTTGACTGCAATGAAGGATTTTAATCCTTAATGCTTAAAAGCATTCGAAACTTCCGTAAGTTATTTCATATACTTTTTATGGTGTAAAATTCATCTTATTTCACAACTGTTTCTTTAAAAACACCAACACAGCTCACACTTACCGTTATTTTCCATCATGCAATTTTAGTCTTCAGACAAAACAAGACTAACTGCATATTTTTATTGGATCACTAGGTGTCACTTCTAACAGCCATAAAATGCAAGCAATTAACTTCTGGTAGAAAAACGTTTGTTATAGCAGCTCAGTTCATAMAGATAGCTAATGGGAGGATTTATCCTTTGAAGGTTTGTGGACAATTTCGATCCTAAACCCAGGACTGTTATACTGTTTTCAAACTGGTGTTTAGCTGAGGATTGTCTGGGAGGATTGCATTGTGGACAGTTATTTCTGGGTCTGAAAAATCAAAAYSGTGCATGGCWTATTGCATGTCTACTGTTCTTYAACAAGGGTTAGGTTGTTATCTTTMGATAGCTTACACATAACCCTTACATGTAATTCTAATCACCATCATAAATCCAGTCTCCATTTCATATTTTGCAGAAACTTTATGTCACTACTGATGACACTGAAGAACCAGCCAATGAGAGCCCAGAGCACACATCAACCTGCGTTGTATGTCACAGCATGCCAGTTAGCAGGGTATTATTGCCTTGCCGCCATGCATGTGTATGCGGACTGTGCTTTTCAAAGTTAGACCTTAAATGCCCMATGTGCAGACAGTGGATTCAGTCATATTTTTTGACACAGGAAGAGCCGGAGTTAGCAAGCAGTGACTTGAATACTTCAAGGGAACTTCATAATATGACTCTTGGGGAAATTGTCAGAGGAATATTCACCTCTAGTTAGTTGAGTTTGTGAATGAAKATAAACTACACACCATCTTAGTCATTTTACCCCTGTTGTTTGGGGTGAAGAGAGTTGCGCAACAAAGCCCTGTACAACTTGGGTTTACCTGCCAATTGGCCTTTTCAAAAGAGACTGGACATGAGTATAAAGATAGTTCACTAATTGAAAACTGAACCTCACCGCATGAAAGACCATACTACAATTAGTGTTCTTGTCAAGTTTGAGCCTATTTGGTTGAATACTCACCAAGTAGGAATTTTTTTTAACCCTCTTGGGATCCCTGTGGACGAAGGGTCTGTCGTACGACTTCTTTATATGGTTGTGTATCTATGGCGATGATGTGCAYATAGAAGGCGCTGATGTGCTTGTAGAAGACTCTGATGTCCATATTATGTGGAGAAGAACTTAGAAAATTTCAAAGACTTAAACTTAAACCGAAAAGACAATTTTTGAGGGACGAGTACTAAGATTCGAACCAGCGTTATACATTGCCTAACCCAATTTTTTCCCTAAACCTAACCATTAAGCCACGAGACCAATTCGCGGGAGTGAACCTGAATTTTTGTGATATATAATTATGCAACGGCATACATGAATAACCACCCATATGTACATAAGATTGAATATAATTAATGAACCATCTATAGGGACATGAGAGCCTTCTATAGGTGCATTACAGCCATGCATATGGACATCCATATATGGAAGTTGTATGACTATTCTTTGTTGTTTTTGCAAATTTCAAATAATTCCTACTTGGTGAGTATTCAACCAAACTTGACAAGAGCACTAATATTGTAGTATGTATTAATGCTTGGTGGACAACTCAGTGTTAATCCAAATACAGTCAAACTTAGCAACTGTACTATTTTAGTATGCTCTCTTATACTAGARTCTCTTTCCTGAATTCCTTGAATTTTGGAGAATTCCTTGAATTTTGGAATGGCCAATTGCAGATAAGTGGGGAGATGATCTGAATCAACAGATGATAAAATGGAAGGACTAATAGATGCTACTGTTTGCATTATAACTAGTTCACAAGGCCCAAAAAAAAAAGAAATTTTGTGTAAATATAAACTAAATATTAAGTGAAAAAGAGTTAAAAATAAAATTTTCAATTCAATATACAATACAGTATACAAGGATATTTTATTTAATGTTTTAATCCTTCTTTCAGGACCAAGTTATGGCTTCAATACATTGTATAGTTGGCTATACAAGTTATACACTATAAACCGGTACTTTCATGCGTTTCTTTGTTTTTTTTTTCCTTTCTTTCTTTCTTAATCAGCTATTTTACAAAGTCAAGTGTTACAGGAATTTGATCCTGCTATAAATAAAACTTTACATTCTCTTACTTTAGTTGTTATAACTATCAAATATTTTAAATCTTTTAGTTTTTTAATAAGAAATCATGTAYTGTTCTACAAAATAGTTATAGTTTGCAGAGTAAGGGTCTTTTTACCTTGAAGAAAATCAACCCAGTTTTATCCTATTCTCGCATCTTCTGTAAAAAAAATGTTATCTTTGCACAGTGAATTACAAGAAGGTAGCCAATTGAGRAAGCACATTYAGCTAATTGTCTGATTGAGGTAATGTTCTTTTCCAGTAATCACAAAGACAATTTMATGACGATGTTCTTGRTGCAAGTTGGTWAGGATGGCAAAGCCTCTTGCCTACTGTCTTCCACAAACACAATTTCATTTCATTTCTCTTTAGCAATGGCAAATACGTTAGGACAGCCGTCTAAAACCAGGATGAATTCTTCTAGATAAACAGACCTTAAAACAAGTGTTGATGGGTTGTTCTCCTTCAACATATAAAACATGGTTGAGTGCAAATAACACTGAACCATCATTTGAACTTGCGCACCACGTACCACTAGAGACTGACAGCATTTTATTGCATTTAGCTTTTCTATTCGCTATTCTACTGGAAGGCATTTCTGTTAGCCATCTGAAAAGTGAAACAACTTGTGGAAATGCAGCTCCACTTTGGGACAAAAGCAATGGATTCTAGTTCCCAAGAGAACAAAAATCTTTTATTTTGTCACCTACATGAAGCTACTTTTGTTAACATAAGATGTAATGGATTTATTGAAATACAACAGTCCAGAACTTTAGCAAAAATAATAATGATTTCATCAACATCACAACGGCTTGAAGTAGTTAAAAAAAACAGTCTCCTTTGCAGCATATCCTTTTTTGCAGGCTGCAAAGGAGACTATCCAAGACCAGTATGTTAGATGAAAGCTTGAAGCAAGTGGGACAAATATAGATTATGTTTAACAAATGATTGGAAGCTTAATCTCATTATTCTACCTCACAAACAACTTCACAMAAAAAATTGCTTAACAGAGCAACATACTAATTACATTTTACATAATTGTGTTGGATCTTTGAGCCACAGATATACATTATACTTTTGCTAWTTTGATAGAATTCTTAGTCTAAAATTTCCTTTAAAGGTGAAAAAATTTCCAACATGGYCATAAATGTAAAATAATTTAAACAAGAATGCTTGGTCATAAGCAACTATTACAGGTTAAAGGTAACCTCCTCCACAGGTACCTCTCTTCCTTTCTATTCTTGGGCTCTCTGTCTTCCTCAATATGATCAGGGGGGAGATTGTGAACGCATAGAAACATAAAAGATGAGACTACTTTCACTTTTGTTCAAGTGTATATCAAAGGGACCTAAGGAGAGAGCAAAATGAAGTGTCCCTGTGTTGGAGGATACCTTAGATACTATTTCAATCAGAATTATTTGTGGTTGACTTGCAGTAGGTCATGTGACTCATTAACGGGTTATGTTGACTCATTAAAAGGTCATGTGACTCATTGACAGGTCATGTGACTCATTAAAAGGTCATGTGACTCATTAAAAGGTCATGCGACTCATTAAAAGGTCATGTGACTCATTAACAGGTCATGTGACTCATTAAAAGGTCATGTGACTCATTAACAGGTCATGTGACTCATCAGCAGGTCATGTGACTCATTAAAAGGTCATGTCAATAAGTGTCAGAAATGGACTTAGTATATTGATATAATAACATTAAGTTTGAAAAATTAATATGAACAGCAGAAGAACTAGTGACGATAGTGGTAATGAAGTAACAAGACACCTCAAATCTTCTCAAGAATCATTCAATAGTGAATGTCGGAAGTCATGTATAGTAATTTATAACACTGCACTGGTTGAGAGATGAATGGGCCAAATGACATGTTAACAAGTCACCTATCATCCAACAGATTCTTGAGTTGGCAAACAGCCCTTCCATCATATTCTGAGATGGTAAAATCAAGGTTGTAAATTGAATTCAAACCTCTATGAGATTTTCAAATTTTGAGACCACGACTTTTTGATTCTGGATTTGAAACTCTCTAGAAAGACTGATTTCTGAAGTGGACAAAAGTTAGAAATCTGAGAAAAGAATTTCTTCATGGACTTCCAGACTTGAAGGTACCATTGACCACCCCTAGACAATATAAGGACTGACTGGATATACTAAAAAAAACATCTGTAAGCTGCAGCAGTATGTTTATATCTGATTATAATTATATTGTATTTTGAGTACAATAAAAACCCAGATATAAGAACCTGAATGCTGAAAATTACAGCAATTAAAGCAATTACAAAAAAGCTTTTCAGCCCAGCTTGGATTTAAGAGGTTTTGAAACTAAAGATCTTATTCTTGATATTAGGAGAATATAATATTATAGGAAATCTTGAGATCTTCTGTTATTTTTATTTTAGCTTGAAAATRAATTGTTTGTTGTTTAAACAACTTWCMAWSTRTTKCACTATTTACTATYATRATGATTATAAATATCACTATAAATAAAAAATAAAAACTGCYATTTTAGGTTCTTATATTTGGGTTTTCACAGCTATAGAACTGACAAGATGCCAAGTCACGTTGGCCAGTAATGGAGCTTTACAGAGAAAACAAAAAGAATTTAAACTGTTGCTTGGGAACCCTGTGGTAGGCAATAACCTTTGCTCAGGACAAAACAGCCTCCTTTACAATGGTTAACTCCTACCCCTCCCCCCCTCAGAAGTATATTCTTGCTTCTTATGTATGACATGACAGAAATATTTGATAAAACCACATGCATACAATGTACTAAAAACAATTCATCTACGAGAAGGATAAAATCTCAAATACGTTATGCATTTTTTAGCCTTTCTATGTACACTTTGCATGTTGGCAGCTCATAATGACCTTGACTGACTTGGTTCTTAGGTGTTATGTACTAGAAATATTTTTTTCTTTCTTTTATAATAAACACAACAGAACAAGCTATAAATTTATTTTTGTTTTTTTGTCCGCTATAAATCTCCTGGGATTTGAAAGACAGCTAAACTTGTCTTTGTATACAACACAGTGACAAAATAATATTATTCTTAGGACTACAACTCACAACAACAAATGCAACTTTGTTACATTCACCGCACATACTTTGTTTAATATCAATCCTTTATGTTCTGTCACCGGAACTATCTGAAATTTGAGAGGTAGCAGTTTATTGTCAAACAACAATCATTGTATCCTTGAAAGGAAGAGTTTTCCTGAACCCATCAAAACCTGCTTTTTGCCCCATCAATATTGAATTCCTATTGCTTGTTCATTGTTTCCTTAACAAATTCCAAATCTTCATCATCATCATCATCATCATCATCATGACCATCATCATCATCATCATCATCATCAACAGCATTACTAATGCCAATGATCCACATTGCCAATGATACAAGACTCACCTGATAGAGCTTGCTCTGTCATCCTAAGACATAGTGACTCAAGACTGTTATCTATTCCATCCATGTCTGCTGAATCTACAATTATAACAAAGCAAGGTAAGTTGCAATGAAAATCTGTAGAGATAATTGTTTTTTTCAAATTTGCTTGAAAAATGTAAGGTTTGGGGTATGGGGGATTTTTACACAGCTTCACAGTAAAGACTTTATCATAATTTGTAATATATTGCCAGAATATTTGTACTATATGGCCAGAGACCATTTAGACGAAACATCAATGACTGGTTTCAAGTTACAGTATGTTGGTGGACCATTGACTATTATTTATGCCACCATGCAACTTGACCATCAATTGACTTMAACCAGCAATAACTGCAGAACTACACAAAGGGAACTTACTTTGTTGCTGTAGTGAACCTTGAGAAACAGTAGTCCTRATTGGTAATGACTTGGTCCTGCCAACAATGGCATGCGATCTTACCTGTCAAACAAAACAGCGGTTTACATGTATACCGTACAATTATCCATAAGTAAACCCAATATTGTGTTAACAATAATTGTTATTTTGATTAGTTTTTGTTGTAAGCAATCATTTTATCATCCCTTTGAGAGTCTTTCTGGTTAACGCAAGTTATTATTCACTTGTGAMCGGGTGGAAAATGATGTAGTACTTGTTTGCTGTAGGTTCAATATAAGTTTTGGAAAAAAACATAACACACAGAGAGAAAACTAACACAGCCAAACACAACCGAATCTGGAGAAGAACTGGTTTACTTGCGTAAAACGCGCATTACAAACGTTATCGATTGCTCACATAATTTGGCAAATATGGATGTAAGGTTATCTTGACCTTTTCACACACTGACAATCATTTGCAAGGGTACCATACCATTAATGAAGAAGATTAATTATTCATTTTAATCAAACTTATCATACCAATCTGGCCTTTCCAGAACTTGGTTGAGTTTCTGTACTGTTACTTCTCTGACCAGCAGATGCACTCTTAGTCATGTTACGAGGTGATCCTCGCTGACGCTTTGACGGTCCCCCTGGTCCAGCAGGGGGGCACAGGCTATTGACAGGATCAATAGGAGCGTTAGATAGGTATGGGTAGTACCACCTGAATGGATATAATTGTAGGCATGACAATGTAAGTGTGATGCCAATTAGCCAATGAATGTGTAAAACGTCTCATTGTTTTGTCCTATGACCTGTCGATGAATATTACTGTAACTTGTATAATGGAAACTGGCATTTGGTGTAATGCAGAACAGTGCATGCATGGTCTTGATTAAAGCAGTCTGGGTTATACAATAGCAAAACGATGCTAATATGACTAACAGAAGGTAAAGTTACAGAGGAAAGTTGTCATTTGAGTGTAGAAGTTTGCAGTGAAGAGGTAACTACTAAAACAGAAGATAGTGAACCTTTCATCCTGACTAGCAGGCTTGAAAAGTTACACATAAATTCTTTGAAATGGCTGTGTTGCTGTTTATAAAAAAAACATGCAGCAATTATAATCTTTTTTGCTCATATTTCAAGTATATATTATAAAATATATCAAAACATTATGGGATATATTGCCAATATTTTTTTTCAGAAAGTACTAGTGCTAGGCAACTTCCAAAAAATACCAGTGATGATATCCCATAATTTCTGATATATTTTATATACTTTGAATATGAGTCAAATGATCATAATTCTGCATTTTGCTGCTGTATATTGTACAAGGATGAAATAATACACACCCCCTTGACTTTTCTTGAGAACTTGGCCTTCTTGCAAACTGTTGCTGTCTGGCCAACCTTTGGCATTGTTGTTTCCAAGAATGAAGCCGGCGCTTTTGATTTGGAGTGAATGCCTAAGGGTTTTGAAAGATTATGAATAATATACATGAGTGTATACAGGGATCATTTAAAAATATGATGCTTCACTGTGCTGTCTGGAATACTATCTTAACATTTTCAAGATCTTTCAACAACTTCAAAAATCCTCTGTGTGGAGCATTCATCAATATGATTATCATCATCATCATCACCATCATTATCATCATCACCATCATTATCATCATCATCATCTTTATCATCATCCTCATCCTCATCATTATCTTTATTTAATCTCACCTCAGACATAAGAGTTCTGTCCAGCAGATGAAGGCATAGATTACAATGTTCCTCATCAGCTCTAGACACCAGGATCTGGGTACAAGCTGTAATAAACATAAGAAAAATGACCACTTCRTGAAAATTATTCACATCAYRTCAGTCACAACAGGATGAAAAAATGTGAGAAAATTGCGCAAAGGTTCTTAGATAAACGTTGTCCTTTTAAACAAATAAAGAGTTAAAGATCAAAAAGAAAGAGTTAAATTTGGACATRAATGGTGCATACCTTTACCCATAACTCTTGTAATCCATGCGGGTAAGTCATCGGGATGAGGAGGTACATTAACAGCCCCTGGTTGTTCCATGGCCGCTCCAGCAGCCACACCTGTTGCGTTGTTCCCATCAGCTATTGTGGTAGGGATACCAGGGGGTGGGTTGAAAGGTTTTATAGGAGTATTAACAATAAGCTTCAATTCTGAGAGTACATTCTGCAGCTTATTAGTCTGTAGAACATCCTACAATATAAATATCAACAAATTGAAGAATTGTCCTATCACATAATATCATTATTATTGGATGGCATTCAATATTTGGTGGGAACTAAGGACGCACAAAATTAACTAATGTAACTAGTACAATGCCATAC